TTCATCCTTCCCACCAGATCCCAAGGAAAGTTCATCCCTCCCCAGGATCCCAAGGGAAGTTCATCCTTCCCACCAGATCCCAAAGGAAGTTCATCCCTCCCCAGGATCCCAAGGGAAGTTCATCCCTCCCCAAGATCCCAAGGGAAGTTCATCCTTCCCAGGGCCATCCTGAGGGCCCAGGGGGCACTTGTGGCACAGAGAGAAGATGCCGGAGGTCAGGACTGGATACTCCCTATGGAATTCCTGCCCTGGGATCACTCACCTCCTGTCCTCTTCATACTTTGACCTGTGGAGAGACAGGGAGGGACAAAAGGGTTTGTTTGGGACACCAGGACCCCCGGGAGGGGTGTTGGCATCACCTTCACCATGTCCCTCCCTGCTCCCACCTCCCCTTCCCACCTCCAGCAGGACAAAGGGACGGAGCTGAGGCTGTTCCTGCCCCCCTTTCCCGTGTCTCCAACCCCAAATCCCAAACTCAGGCACTCACAGGATATCCCCGAGCTGGGCCAGCTGCTTCTCGGCCACCTGCCGCTCCTTCTGGGGGTCCCCATCCAGCTCCAGGAGGTCGTTCTCCCCATAGAGGCTCCCCAGGCCCATCGTCCGCTTCGTCCTGCAAGGACCGGGATCGGGACCGGCACTTTGGGACGGGGCCTCTGGGGCCATTGGGGCCTGTAGGGCCTGTGGGGCCTATGAGGATCTCAGGGCCTGTGGGGCCCTCAGTGCCTCTGGGGCCATTAGGGCCTGTAGGGCCTGTGAGGCCTACGGGGTCCTCAGGGCCATTAGGGCCTGTAGGGCCTGTGAGGCCTGTGGGGCCTGTGAGGCCTATGGGGCCCTCAGGGCCTGGGGGGCCTACGGGGACCTCAGGGCCTGTGGGGCCTGTAGGGCCCGTGGGGCCTAAGGGGTCTATGGGGCCTGTAGGGCCTAAGGGGTCTATGGGGTCTATGGAGCCTGTGGGGCCTAAGGGGTCTATGGGGCCCTCAGGGCCTGTGAGGCCTATGGGGCCCTCAGGGCCTCTGGGGCCTGCAGGGCCTGTGGGGTCTAAGGGGTCTATGGGGCCTCTGGGGCCTGCAGGGCCTGTGGGGCCTAAGAAGTCTATGGGGCCCTCAGTGCCTCTGGGGCCATTAAGGCCTGTAGGGCCTCTGGGGCCTCTGGGGCCCTCAGGGCCTGTGAGGCCTATGGGTCCCTCAGGGCTTCTGGGGCCTGTAGGGCCTAAGGAGTCTATGAGGCCTGTAGGGCCTAAGGGGTCTATGGGGCCCTCAGGGCCTGTGGGGTTTATGGGGCCTATGTAGTCTAAGGGGTCTATGGGACCTTTAGGGCCTTTGCAGCCTATGGGGCACAGGTGGCCTATGGGGTCACCCCCAAGGCGCCCATGGGGACCCCTGTGCAGGTGTGGTACCTGTAATCCTGGATCTGCTCCTGGATCTCGGGCATCACCATCTCCTGGGCCTCGAACAGGGCGGCCCGGGCATCGTCCCCATTGCGCAGGCGACTCTCTGGGGACGGGGAGGGACAATCCCGGTCACCAACCACCCCAGGGATATTTGGGAATCCTCAGGGAGACGTGCCCTGAGTGCTGGCCAGCCCCTGCCAGAGGTGATTCCCATCTTGTGTCCTGTTTTGCTGAGACACCACAAGGAGAGCTCCGGGATCACCGGGAAGAGCTCTGGGATCACTGGGAAAAGCTCCGGGAACTCCCAGTCCCAAACCCTCCCCCTGGATTGGCATCCCAAGGAACGGCCCCTCACTCACCGATCTCCGCCAGGAGCTGCTCCGACACCTTCACCCGGAGAGGCTGCAGAGGGAGGGAGAACAGAGCAGCAGCTCAGCTCTGGATCCCTTTTCCCAGCTGGAAGGAGCTGGGATTACGGTGCTGGAGCCCCGAATTCCTGCCCCATCTCTCCACGGAGATCTCACACACCAGCATCCCATAAAAGATTCCCAACAGGAATTTGCTCCCTTGGAGCACCAACAGGAGCACCTGGGTCTCCATCCTCCCTTCCAGGACCCTCCTCTCCTGATTCCAGGCCCTGGAGGCAGCTGGAGTCGTGCCAGTAGTGGGGATTCCTCACACAATTCCTTGTGCTTCCCAGGGGTGGAGGAACCAGCAGCAAAAAAAGCTTTTCCAGTGGCAAAACCCACCCAAAACCGCTTCCAAAACGCTCCTAAACCCATCCCAGGACACAAGGGGAACGCTGGAATTCCAGCTGGACAAGGAATCCTGTGCCATAACAAGAGCTCCAGGAGCCCAAATCCCAAATCCCCTTCCTGGTTCGGCATCTTAAGGAACAGCCCCACGCAGGGAAGAGGAGCCGGTGATCCCAAGGGTGGGGGTGCCCTGGATCCCGCTCTTACCGCGCTCCTGTCCAGGAAGATATTCCAGATCTCCTTCCCCAAGGCCCGGGAATCCTTGGCTGTGCTCTGCTGGAAAACCTCCGTGCACAGGTAGAAGAGCTGCAGGGAAAAGGGAAGGAGAGGGAATGTTGGGAAGGGGGGAGGGAGGGAGGGAAAGGGCTCAGCCCCTGAGCCACAGAACGGGAAGTGATCCCGAGGGTTGGGAGGAAGTGTCACCCCATGGAAGTGTCACCCCAAGGAAGTGTCACCTAAGGAAGTGTCACCCCATGGAAGTGTCACCCTCCCCGTGCTGTGGGAAACCCCCTGGCTGAGGCAGGAAGCCGTGGGAAGCACCGGCTTGGGGATGCCAGGAATGTGCAGGGATGTGCCTCAGGAATATTCCCAGGTATTCCTGGGATTCCAGGGCTCAGGTATTCCCGGGATTCCCCCCTTACCAGGGGGCTGGGATCAGCCTGGGAGAAGATGTAGCGCAGGAAGACCCCCAGGTGTGCCGGCCGGGATTTCAGCTTTCCCAGGTCCTGGAAGAGGGAGTCGCACTGGGAAGAGAAGGGAAGGGAAGGAGCCACTTAGGAAGGGAAGGAATTCACTCCTCTGGATCCACAGCCCGGCTCCCAAATCCCAACCTCCTTGGGACCAACCCAGGGTGTCTCCTGGGAGAGGGATTTGAAATCCCACCAGGCCTGGAGGGGGTCCATAAAGGAGTGAGGGGACAAAAAAATCCCGGGAATACCTCGTTGTTGAAATACCCTGGATCACAATCCTCCTCCGGGCCGATGATCAGGGGCCTTCCCGGCCGCTCCTGCCCGGGAAAGGGGTGGGAATTAGGAGCCAGGAGCCCGGATCCGGGGGGAAAATCCTGTGTATTCCCAAGGTTCTGGCCCCCCTGGATGAGCTCCCACCCACCTGCTCTGCCGAGGGTGGGAAGGGGCTGTCGGAGCCCTGGCACCGATGGTGTTGGAAAAGCCGGGAGGAGATGATGGGGGAGGTCCGGGGGCTTTCCAGGCCGTGGTCGGAGAGGGTGGAATTCCGGTTCAGGGAGACCTGCCCGGCACGGGAGACACCGGGAATGTCAGCCTGAGGCACCTGAGAGCAGCTCTCAGCTCAAGATTCCACAAAAACATAAAACCCCGGGAATGGGGGAAAACATAAAATCCCTCGGGGGCTGCTGGGAGAATTTTTGGATTGGGAACAAAAGGTGGGAATTTCGGGGGATCCCTCGTTTTGGGGGTAAACGTGACAAGCCCAAGGAATTCTGAGTCGAGGAATTGCAAGGAATTCCATTGGTTCAGGAGACAAACAGTTCATTGGGATTACAAAAGGAGGTCCCGAGGATTCCCGGAGTGATCCAGCCCCACTCCCAGTGCACAGGGAAAGTTGGGAAACCTCTCCCTCACCTCACTCACAGAGGGGAATCGCTCCGTCCCGGATTCCAAGCCGCTGTCTCCATCCTGGGAGTCCAGGGAGAGGCGTCCTGGGAGCAGAGGAGAGGCTGATCCATGTGTCCAGGAGCCGGGAACACCGGGATGCTCCGGGAACATCGGGATGCTCCGAGCCACCGGCGCCACTCACCTTCCACCGACCTGAACCCGGCCACACTGGAGTCACTGCTCAGCCTGGAATCCTGCATGGGAGAGGGGTGGGATCACTGGGATGGTGCCCAGGACTCAGGATTCAAGGACAGGGATGAGGGAACTCGGAGCAATTCCCACCACAGGATATTTGGGAAAAGCAGGGATGTCTCCGCCGCCGTTCCCACCGCCCCGGGAGGGCGATCCCGACACCTTGGGAAGGCGTTTCCCAAGCTCAGAGGGAGCCAGAAGGATGGGGGGTGACTCCCCTGAATCCCACCCACCAGGGAATTGCCGGTCTCCTGGAGGATTTTGAGCTGGAGCTGGCTGACCCTCCGGCGTGCGCCCTCCATCTGCTCCTCCACGGCCGCTCCGGGATTCCGGCTGTACAGCTCCTGGAAGCGCTGAGGGGGAAAAGAGAGAGGGGACCTTCACACCCACCCCAAACCCACAAATCCCATCCCAGGATTGGTTGGAAGGTGCCCAGACAGCCGTGGGTGCTCCATCCCTGGAAGGGTTGGATCGGGATGGAGCGACCTGGGCTGGCGGGAGGCGTCTCTGCCCACGGATCATCTTCCAACCCAAACCATTCCGTGATTCCACAACGGGCTGAAGCCTCTTTGTGCTGCCCCAGCAGCGCCAGGACATGGCCAAGGGCTGCTCCAAGGAGGAAAAAAAAGAGGGAAAAAGCGGGAAAAGAGCCCCCATACCTGCAGCTCCGCCTCCTCCTGCCGCAGCATATTCCGCAGGATCTGCGTGGCGTGTTTCTGCACCTCTGGGTCCTGCAATTCCACAGGGAATTCCTCAGCTTTGCCTCCCTGCTGTCTCCCACGCCAGGGGGGACGGGGCAGGGTGGGCTGGGGGGGGTCTGGTGTGACCTGGAGGGGTCTGGGGTCGGTGATTCGCTGCGGCAGCGGCGGCGGCGGGGGGGGACAGGCGGGGGGGATGTGGGGGGATCCCGCTGTTCCCGCATCCTGCTGGGAGCTGGGCACCCCCACGGAGGGAGGGGGGGATCCCAGGAGGGTCAGAGCGACGTAGGCACCGGCTGGAAGAAGTGGGGAGAGGGGAGAGTGAGAAAGGTCTCCGTGATTCACTCGTGGAACTCAACGCGACCCAACTCGGCCTAAACTCAACCCAACTCAACCCAACTCAACCTGAACTCGACCTAAACTCAGCCCAAATCAACCTGAACTTGACCTAAACTCAGCCCAAATCAACCTAAACTCGACCTAAACTCAACCCAAATCAACCCGAACTCGACCCAAATCAACCTAAACTCAACCCAACTCAACCTGAACTCAAACCCAAATCAACCTAAACTTGACCTAAACTCGACCTAAACTCAACCCAATTCAACCCAACTCAGCCTAAACTCGACCCAACTCAACCTCCACCACCCCGTGGCCATCGGGTGGGAACATCCCTGTCCACCAGATCTGCCACCTGGATCAAGCCAAGTTTTCCCATCTTTTCCCCAAGAATCCAGGCCTGGATGGGATCCCGTGGCCTCCTGAGCCAGGGGAGGGACGAGGTGCCCCTTCCCGGGAAAACACTGATTCGTGGTTTTTAGGATCAAATCCGGGGCAAACCAGCCAAAAATTGGCTCCCCCCAAAATTCCCCAAGGATGGGAATGTGCTCCTGGACATCCCCACGCTGCCTCCGCATCGCCCACGACAATCCGGGTGGGAAGAGCAGCCGGATGGGAAGAGCAGCCACAACTCACACTTGATCAACTTCACCACTTCCAGGTGGGAGCTGTTGGTCACCATCGTCCCATTCACCTGGAATGAGGGAGAGAAGGGGTGGGAGAGGCTGGGAAGGGGGAAGGGGAGCGGGAATTCCCGTGGGGAAGGGGCCGGGAACGCTCACCTTGACAATCCGGTCGCCCTCCTGCACGCCGGCTCTCATGGCAGCCCCACCTGGGACACGGGGAGGAGTCAGGATGGACCCAAAGGGGTGGCTCCTGGTGCTCCCAGATCCTCCTGACACATTCCATGGGGACACAGGGAGCACCAGGCACAGAATTCCCGTGGGATGAGCCCGGTGACCAAGCCCTGGGTGTTCCACAACACCCCTTGTGAACATCCAGACAATCCCTGTCCTGCCCATCCCAGCCTTTCCCATCCACCTCGGGATGGAAGAGGGGTCCCAACCTGTTGTCCCACCATCCAGGCTGGGCTCTGGCACATCTGGGAACACATCTGGGAACACCTGGATCCAGAGGCAGGAGCAGGGCCCTGCTCTGCCTCCCCTTCCCTGCCCCTGCTCCTTAAAGGAGCTGCCGAGGTCAGAATCCAGGAAAAAATCCACTTTTTTCCAGGGCCAAAACCAAGAGGGAAATGTTTCCACTGGGTTCAACTTCCAAGCCAAGGGCCTGAGAGATGCAGTGAGTGGAAAGTCCTCGGAATTGTCGGGATTCTTTTGGGTTTAATGGAAAACAAAAGGAGTGGGGAGAGGACTTGGGAATGTCCCACCCTTGGGAACCTCAGCCCTGTCCCCAACTTCCAGGGATAACTCCAGCTGCAGGAGAGTTGGAGCTCCCAAGCCTTTTCCCTTTCCTATATCCTGGTTTTTCCTGGCTTTCTGGCCAGAGAGGGGAAGGGGGAGGAGCTGGGAACATCCGCTGGAAAAGAAGCAGCTCATTGTCTCTTTAAACTGCAGCTCAGGAGCCAAATCCATGTTTTCCAGGGGCTACAACGGGGAATTCCCACCTCCAGCCCGCCCACCAGCTCCCTGGGATGTACAGGGAAAGGGCAATCTGGGGGAGCTCCCATGGAATCATGGAAGGGTTTGGGTTGGAAGGGACTTAAAAAATCTCATTCCACTCCCTGCCGTGGGCAGGGACAACTTCC